CGGAGCGCACTTAAGAATAATCAAGAATTGCAATAAAAAAGAGTATAATTTCACACATTTGTATGTATGTATGTGTATAAGTTTATTTGAAAGTAGAAATCATTTAATAACAATAACAACCCTCCTTTAAAGTAATATAATTTATTTAATAAGCAGCAAATACTTTGGACAGGCTTGAACAAACTTCAATTCGATAGGTGCAACTTGTGTTGGAATCACACTGTAGGGAATTATCGTGTTTATTGGTTCAGTATGCTAATAATACGAGAGTATGCTAATTCTACAACGAGTCACTGCGAAAGCGAATAAAACAAGAATGGCTTAGAAATAAAAAATAACATTAAATTATGTAAATAATTTGAAGCAAAAAGTAAAATCACAGAAATAATAACGGAAAAAATGAAGACAATACAAGGTGAGGACCCCACATTGGTGCACAAGTTATCGAAGATATTTTTTTAACTGAGTTATTCTATTGTCAATGACGTGTTTCGAAGCACCGCTATCGTGTTTTTTTACCATTTCGACTAATTGACAGGGGCCTTTTTTGAGCGATTGGCAAACTACGTGGAATGCAAAGTGAACAAAGTTTTCTTACAATCAAATATTCTTGCAATATTAAATGTGTGCTAGTCCCACTCTAGTCTATAATTGCCTCAATCTCACGATAGGTCAAATGACGATCTCGCAATATCAGTTTATAGTCAAGATGAACATTTTAAATTACTGTAAACAACACAAGTAGCGCTTGTATGCCAAAACGTTCTGAGTATGTATAAAATCAAAAATATCAAACTTTACGATAAAGTTGTGAGTTGCCAGATTGCAACACTAGGGTTGTCAAATCCCTAAATATAAAAGGCAATCTACGTAGTTTGAAATGTGTGTGTATAGTTATAATAAATATATCGTATCATCTCCAATATTAGAAAGTGGTTCCTACAGCAAAACTATGAAGGGGTACCACTAATAAAAATATTTGAATATTGTTCTTAGGTAGGTTTGGGATGGTAGATGACCACGGTGGTTCAACTCAGGTTAAGTCGCAAAATTTTGCGGTGTCACAGATATAATATTTATTCTTCTAAAAACTAATTAGCTCAAGCATTAACTTATAAAATACTTAAACAAAAACTGACTACTCAAACATTTCCTAACACTTAGCTTAGCTGTTAACATATTCACATAAACTTTCAATTGCATTGTCTCTTTATATCGTCATAAGCATATATCTCGCTATTTTCATCTTTATCCCATTTTTCTCAAATATATTTTATCTATGCTAATTAATAATTTTATTTCTCAATTTGCTTATCAACAAACTTTTTTGATTGCTCCATTTTCTCACTGCGCTCATTTGCATGCGCATACAATAGGGTGAGCTAAAAATAAAGTAACAATATCTAGGTTTTTGGATAAAATTAACTTATACACAGTGAAAAAATAATACCTGCATGGCAGGATTTTAGCTTAATTTTAAATTGTGTCGCTGAGCGCTGAAATTTTCTGATATAAATAACGGGTTAAAAAATCTATTTTCGTTAAATTATAATTCAAGGACTTTTTAAAGCTTAAATTTCTAAAAAATTTAACTCTCGATTAAAAAAGTCGCATATTTAAAAAAAGTTGAAAAAATTAAAAAGTGAAAATTTTAAATATAACAACGTGTTGTTTATATGGGAAACCATGAATTTGTTTTTACCTTTTGAAATTTAATAATTTAAAAAATCCTGCCTTTCAGGAATATTTTTTTTCTATGTATATAGGTACATCTTAACCCATAAAATTTATAGTAGTTTTGTTTTTGCCTCACCCTAATATGCATGTATGCATATATAATTACGTTGTTATTAAATTTCGGCTCATTTAATTAAATTTCATTACTATTTCCAGGCATTTCAGATCATTTGTATTAAAGTTTATTTATTTAGATATTGTTTCACATCTTAAGCGGCCTGATGCACCGAAAGCCCATAAATTCAGCTAATTTATTATAATGTCAATGGCAATGACAGACGGTGGCAAGCAGAGGCGGACAGACAAGTGAGTGTGTTGCCTTGTGGTCAAGAAATTAATATTAAGTGAGCCACTGTGCCAGGCTGTCAACAGCAGACGCTGGCGGCGCAGCAGCAGCAGTAGTCAATGCACATGAGCACACAAACACATATATAAAGTAAATGAAGATACTGTTACTAAATAAAATGCAACCAAATATCTGCTTGCCGCTGTGCATTTCATTTGTTTATCTGCTGCTGTTGTGCGATATGCCACCATCGGTTCAATTAAGCCACCGTGAATATTAATAAATGCGATAAATAAATTTATTGCTTACACACTACATCATGTTAACACCACACGACAGTGCACGACAGACCCGAGTGAAAATCTCGAAAAGGAAATGCACAAACACACCAAAGCAATACGCACACCATATTTGAGGCAAGCAAGTTGCTGTTGTTGTTGTTGTAGTTGTCAATGTAACAAACCGAAAATTTGTATATCATTAATATTGCCATTGGAGTTGGTCCAAATGATAGTAGTGTCGAACGCCAACGAAGCCAGCTACGAGCGTCAGCGCATCGCTACTGTCAAGGCTTTGACTTTCGGGGGCAGGGCAACTTTAATTCAATTTGTAGCGCGCTAAAGCGAAATTATTTTAAAATCTAAATATGTAAACATTAGCGTATCGCATGTATAGAAGTGGGAGGTGCTCTATTGATACGGCGCTAGAAAGAAAAAATGCCGAACGTGGGTTGTGCGCGCGCCGTTGGCGGTCGGCGGTCGGCGGCTGGCGCCAAACGCATGCAACAAGTCTATGAGGGGGTCTTCCACAAATGCTAGCGTATTTTTTTCAATTAATACTTTTTTTTTATTTGGCTCAAATATCTGTCTAATTTGTATTTATTTCTTGGTATAATTTTTCGAAAATTAATTTCCGTTTCATTTTATTTCGAATTGTGCTCAGTTATGGTAAATAAATTAGTCGAACGGCAAATAAAATTAATAGTTTGTCCAAACAAAGTTCAAATTAGCAATTAGTAAACGATAGATGCACATAAACACTCACATGTACGTATGTATATATAGATGAGCGTTGTCATAAATTAAAATCAAATCAACGACCAAAACGAAATGAAGCATTCAAATCGAAAGTCAAAATAAACTCTTTTGGTAATTTTATGGTAGCGGTTCTGGTAAGATGTTCCTACTGCCACACATATATACATATGTATGTACATATATGTATATGAGTATATTAATATATAATTTATTTATTTTATATGCGCTTGTTTGTTAGTGTATTTGGCACACGCCGGATGCACACGCGAAATAAATTCGTTAATAAATGATATCGCGGAAGAGTTGGCACTAACACAACTACACGTATATTGATAGACAAATATAAATATATATATATATATATATAAATATATATTGTCCGCCAAAATGAACTTGATTTTGAACATTTTTGCTTATCAGCGTTACAAAATTTGGCAAAATGAAGATTACGAGTGAATTTTATCGAAAACAAATAAACTCAGCTAAATGGCTTAGGTGTGGACTCACTGCCAAATAGTTTTCTTTCGGCTTTTGCACAAAATTTTCCACTTAAAATATTAAAATTGCAACTAGTTAGCTTAATTCTGTTTAAAGAGAATCAGTTAACCCAATAAGGCATATTTATACCCTGAACAGGAAATATTAAGTTTGCCACAAGTATTTTGTTTGTAACACCTTGAAGGAAACGTCGGAGACCCTATAAAATTTATATGGTATATATGGTATGGTACGTGGCGAGCTGAGACGATTTAGCCATGTCCGTCTGTCTCTTTCTATACTTGCATGCAAACTAGTACCACAGTGTTTGAGATATCGTTTTGAAGTTTTTTACACGTATTTTTTATTCCAAGAAGCTGCTCATTTGTCGGAACCGCCGATGTCGGACCACACATAGCATATAGTTGCCAAACAAGCTAAACGGTCGGAATCTAGTGATTGTATGGATAAATTTTTCATTTTACGAGATGTCTTCACGAAATTCGGCATGGCTTATTGTGTAAGATCTAAAGTATATAGCTGTCATACAAACTGGCCGGTAAAGGTCAAGTTCTTATAAAGAATCATTTGTATTTGTGTAGGCTGTGTTTGTGTTTTCTTTGTTTTGATCGCTTTTTTTTGGCCCATATAATTGTTACTTTTAATTTAGCAAAACGCATAAAAAACGTTTTGTGTTAATGACACAGAGTATTTAAACATTCAAAGGCTTAAGGCCTTATATCCACTTGTGAGTTTTAGATTTTTTTTTTTACATACATATTTCGAAGGTCCAGATATTTGACAATGTTCTCCAAAAATTTTAAGTTGATCCGGCAAATAGTTAAGGAGACATGAGCGTATTTGTTAAAATTCTTTAATTTAGTGTTAACGGTGTCCAAAATTTCAAACTCGTTTTTCTCGAAACGCTGTTTTCAAGTCGGCTAGCGCAATTTCTCCGAAACGGGTAGATCGATCGACTTGAAATTTTCAAACGACCTTACTAGACATATTTGTCAGATAATTATCGAAGGAAAACGATTTTTATAACTACTAAATTTTTTAAGTCACTCTGAATGTGCATTTTTTTAGCAACAAATGACTTTGTTGTTGTCAGTCGGCACTTTGTTAGGAGTTTAAAATAATTTTAAGCAAAAAAATCTTCCTCACCGGCAGACACCTTTTTTCGGAGCTCCTCCGGGAGATCAGCTACGGGATCAAAGGAATCCACAAATATTCGAAAAGAATCGCCGATTATTAAAGTACAATAGTTAGTTCCGAAAACGTTATTTTTTCTTCTTTAATTTACTGACTTGCAAGTGGGTAACAGTGTCGTATCGCAGGAAAAAAAATTCGCCGAACGTCGTGATTAACTGAACCCTATTTGGTACTTTATATATGCATTTTTTATAAATAAAAATTACAAAAACAATAATGAAAATTTAAATAAAAATTTCTCTACTCACCACTGTGATGCACCGAGGGTGAATGAAAGCTACTTTTCTCACTGGCCGGTGGTGTTGTATAATCGGATGTTAATCTGTGACTGTTGTTATTGTTGTTGTTATTGTTATTATTATTGCTGTTACTACCTAAATAATTGCCGACTTGATGATCAGAGCCACAATGCGACGCTGTTGTTGACGCCTCAAACGCGTTCTGTTGTTGTTGTTGCTGTTGCGCATTAACAACATCATCATTGCCGTATTTTTCACAATCTAAATTAAAAAAAAAAATTATAAAAAATTCAAATAAAAATGTCATAATATAAAGAGAAACAATTTAAAACGGAAGGAAACTTAATATTAAGCTATGAGATCCCAACTGATAATTTTAAAATTAATAAAAAAAAAAATTGTTTACAAAAATTCTTGATAGTATACTCAGAAAAAAGTAATAAAAACAATTAATATGTAAAGTTCTGATAATTTTATAAAGCAACCACTTGCAGTTTATGGAAAGGAAATAACAGTAAATTGTCCAACAAATATATTCATATCTATTTTTTTTTTTAATATTATTGGTCTTTTTCTGTATTAATTTCGGTTTAAATGGAGGAAATACTGACCCACTATCTTATCTAAGCTAATTAGTTGCCAAAAAAAAACGCAAAAATTATTTGCTTATTTTATAACCAGACAACCAGGGTTTATCGGATTAGAGAAAAATCAAGGTACTAACACGTATGGGTGCAATAGTATTATTAGAAAAATTTTAAGCTAAAAGTTTTAGGAAGAGTACTAGAAAAGTTGTAAATCAAATATCTAAACAGGTTAATTTATCAATTTAAAATTGATTTCAATAATTTTAGACACATTGGAGCTACGGACACAAATTCAATGAATGAATGCGTAATTTTTCATAAACACCATTCAGTGATAAGCAAATTTTCGTATGATTACGAATTGTCTACTTCCTTTCAAACATTAACCTTATCAGCGCATCAAACCGCCCGCCGATAAGTTAAGCAACCAGCAGAGCATAGCGGCAACACCCAACCATACACATGCATAACATTGAAAATATGAGCAGTGGTGCCCAACAAAAGGCGAGCCACGCGTCCAAGTAGCACGGCTGCTTTTTGTCCACGCCTTCAGGCAAAGGAATCGGTAAGGTAGGGGTAGTAGAACGCAGATTCCATGGCACAAGCTAACTTAACCCGTTCACAATCGAATTTGCGTCAATAATACAAAGTGATGCCGCATGGAAGTGGAAACTCAATGAAAAATCAGCGGCCACTCAAAATAGAAAGGCTACGGCTGGCGCAGTGGTGCTCGCCAAAGCTGGTCCGGCTGCATTTTAGCCGTGTCTGCATACACCCGCCGACGGCTGGGCGGACACAGTCGGCCAGCGAGGTGATTTTGTTACCTCGAAGACATCCGCTTTTAGAGCGATATTTTGCGATTGTGAGTATGTGTGTATGTTTAACATTTTTAGCGCAGTTTTCTTCTCATTCTCCCACAAATACTAATATTTTTTCACTTTTTACAGTTAGATGGTTGGAAAAATGAGTTAGGACAATTGAAGTGCTCAGAGAACATAGCAGGTAGTGCAGAGGTACTCATACAGACACATGTGTTCCCTGTAGGAATGCTGAGTGCTTAAAATAATTTAATATGTCTACGCTTATATCAAACTTTAAAGTTGTTAATTGATTATTCTTGAAAAATTATTATAAAAAGAGAGAAATTTATAATTTAAATTATAATTATATTAATTCCCAACAAAGAAATGCTTTAAGAGCAATATAAAATTTTTTTGGTTAATTAAGCCAAGTTAGTTAGTAAGTGCCTCATCGCAATTACGAGAAATTATTGGAAGGTGTTTTAGATAAATTATTTTTCCACTAGCTAAAGCTGTCTTCGCTTCGCCAAATCTTGGCTTGGAGAGCGGCGAATCGAACAAACAAATGGTATAAATCAAACTGAACGAATCGAGGACCTTTTATATGTTTATTTCTGCCAAAATTTGTATACTAAAAATATACTTTCCCTATCGAGATATATTTCGTTCAAAATTGTTAATTTTTTTATTATAAGAAGTTTCGAGTTTCTTTAAAACTAATATTTGTCATATCATTTAAACCACATTAGACACATTAGACACAAAGTAGCCTCAGAGGTCTTATTCCTTTAAATACATGGGAAAATAAAGCGACTTAACACGTTCATTAAACTGATATTTCTCGTTGGAATTTATTTCAAGATATTTTGAAATCGATTATATTGACTGTAGTCGAAATCCTGTGGGCATATGGGCTGCAATCAGTATTCTTTAAAACGCTACCTCAACGAAGAGCCCAATACTTTTTAATTTCCTGATTTTTGATTTGTTTTTATAGATTCAAGTGACATTCTTCATAACGAAATGACCTGAAAAATAAAAATGTGTCATCAAATATTGCCCTAGATTTCTTTTCAGGTGTTTTTCAAAGCCTTGAGTCTTTATAGCAGTTCAGTTATCTAAGCGTTCATATACTTTCATGAATGTTAGCAGTGAATATCTAATTTATACCCGACTTCGGTTTTTGTCAGTTTCACTTAATTCCTTAACTCGCATCGATAGTCATTTTTCCTACAGGGTTGCAATAGTAACAGCGTGTATATGAAAGTAATGTGTATATAGCCTTTTGTAAACATGTTGTGCAACAGGTTAGCTAGCAAACCAGCAGCTGCAAATTCTAACCCTTCCAACTAGCAATTCTTCTACTCACTCTTCCACCTATTTGCTGGCCTTTAGTTGTAATAACGGAAGTTTAAATTAAATTTTCCTTGACATTTCCTAGCGAAAAGTGTTTTTACAACTATATAGCTATATGATAACATATGTTGTTGTTGTAGTGCAAATTTAACTCGATTTATAATATATTATTATATGCAAGTGGAAAAATGGTTTATGTAAAATATGTCACTTACAACTAAAAGTGAATTGTTTACACGCGTCTACACATTTGCGACACAAATTCAATTTCTGTATTGATTATATTTTCAAAGCATGTCCTTGAACGGAGAGATCTTGAAGCGCACATGAAACAAAAAAAAAACAAAAAAAAAGAATCGAATTGAAATCTGGCTGGCGCCACCTGAGCATTAATATGCACCTTGCTGCGTCGTATAACAAGTTGTTCAAACATGACCAGAGCGACCTTCGTATGGGTAAGCATTCTTTTCACACTAATTTCTAGCGCACAATTACGCATGCGTGCGCGCAGACACAATAATGTGCATTTACACGATGAAGTACTATTTTTTGATTTTCGTTACATTCCATTTTTTATTTTTTCCATTTTTTAAATTCTTAAAATTTTTTTTTTCATTTATGTTTTCATTCTTTGTTTAGATTATTTATTTTTTTATATCATTTATTATTTTTTTATATAATGGCATTATTTTACTCACCCTTCTGCAGTATATCTAAGTGTTCCCACAAAATATCGCCCGTAAATGGTGGCGTTATTGCTAGAAACTTATCTTTGCCTAATTCAATCATATCACGTCCTTTCATTTTAATAAAAGGCTCCAAATTCATTGAGACCAGTGAGAATTCTTTGCTTGCCCAGTTGAGCCAATAGATGACATGCTCCTCCTTCCATTCGCGGGGATCTGAAAAAGCGCCAACAAGAAAACAAAAACAGAAATTATTAAGGAAAAACAGGAAAAACGGAAATCAATTAATATTAATATGCATGTAATGATTACAACTCACTTCAAATACAATTTTTTTCTCATGCAATATGGCATTAAAATTGGTATGAAAAAACTTATTCATAAGAATAATAATAAATTTAAAACGCGTTTATTTGTATGCATTCGATACGCTCGTTGAACAGTGTTGACAATATAATTTTTATTTCACTTGTAATTTCCCTTAATTAACATTATTGAGGAAAGCAATCAAATGCGTGTAAATTTGTCGGGAATATGCACAAGTCACATACGCACACACTCCCATATATGTACATACATACATACGAGTGCATGTTGTGATAATTTATTTGTGTAATTATGTCTGTATAACTGTTTTACATGCTAATACACGATAAATAATTGACATGGATTTCATGGATTTTTAAATATTGTGTGTGGGAGTGAATTCAAAAGTGAGAAAAAATTAATTTAGTGTGGAGTTTTTATGAATTTATGGCTTATTAAAAAATAAAAATTAAGGAGAGCGTGAGAATCCAACGGCAATTTGTTATTACAAATTAAATAGTTTACTATTCTGAACATTTTAAATTAATACAATATATGGGCTTTGAGGCGCCTTTGAGTGGTTGAAGAATTTCGATGAGAAGATTTTTTTATGTAAAAAATACTCAAAGAAATTTATTATTGCTCATTTAAGAGCATTTTCAATTAGAAATACTTGTTTTTGTAATTTTTCTTAGCCGAAAATTGAACTCTAAACTGTAAACGGAATGACAGTAATGCACTTAAAATATTTAATTAAACGATTCTTAACAAATTTAGTTGCAGGATTGCAAATAATGCTTCAGACTAGAATTATTTTTAACTATGCAATCCCGAAAAACTTGATTAAAAATAATTTTTGAATTTTTAATCCCAAACACCTGTTCAATTAAAAACATTTATTAAAAAAAAAGTATAATAAATTTTTAATTTTTTTTCATGTTTGCTTATTTTAAATCCTATATTTTTGGTTATCTTTTTAATAGCAAAACTTTTTTTTAAATAAAATATCAACATAGTTTAACCTTTCTTATTTCTTATTTGTATTTAATTGCTTTCAATTATAGTGTTCCAGTTAGAAATATGGAATTCTTTCCTTTTTTATCTAATCTTATTCCAGCTTTTAATTTTAAAAATATTTTTTTTTATTTGTTACTCTAATTTTAAAATCAAAAAATATGTTTTAAATTCTTAATACAAGAAATTTATTTTTTTTTGGATTCCGACTTTGAGCCCTTATAGCATCTGTTATATAAACTTGACCGAAAGATGTTATACAACATTCAAAAAAAAAGGAAAAAAATAATTTTGTGGATGATTTTAATTTTACAATAAATACTTATTACAGTTTATAATAATATTATTGAAAAAGCCTAATTTCAAATTTCTAAAGCAAACATTTCGGAGAATTTACTTTTTTACTTAGAACTCAATCTCTCGAAAAATTTTATTTGGTCCAATGCCCAGAATAGGGAGAGTCGATTTTACCGCATGGTGTTATTTATCAAAAATATGAAGCAAACCATAACGTAAGTGCTAAGCAATATTTTAAGACATCAGATATGCAGACAATAGCCGATTTAGCTATTGGAAATGATTGAAGTTAGGGCCTTAACCACGCAAAATTGCCATAAATCTGTGTTATAGAAAAACTCATCGTCAATATAAACGCTATAACACAATATTGAAAGAGCAAAAAGCCCATATCAATAAACATTCATTTAAGTGAACTATAAAAATATTTAATTATTATTCAGTTATTGCTTTCTCTATCTCCGTCACTAAACTGACGTCACAAACAAAAACTCTCACAAAAAATTACACTCTGTATTAATTAACTTAACTTATAAAATATAATTTATTAAAAAACAAAAAATACTCACCTTTGGTTATATTACAGTTCTGCACCTCCTTCTCCCATGAAGCGAAAGAGGCCTTTAACACTTCGGCTACCTTTCGATTGGTGCCGGGTGTGAGTGGTGGAATTTGTGATGGCACATCTGAAATGAGTTAAATAAAACAAATTATAAATAAAATTTCAAGTGATTTAAATAGTGAACTAAAAGCAAAAATTTATTTTTTATCTAGATAGGTTCAAAGGTTTACATAATCACCACATAAATACCAAAAATACATATTTTTCAGTGTTGATATTTAAAAGTTATGTTTGTAAAGAAATTATATAGGACATCTTTTAAAAATTCAGCACGCTGTTTCTTACATTTTTGTATAGAGTTAAATTATATAATAATTCAATTGAATAACGAAAACAAACCCAAATTTTTCATAAATAAAAAATGTTCATAAAATTAAACATTTTTCTGTAATCGATATCATACTACTTTAGCATATAGCTGCCATACAAAAGAGCGATCAAAATCAAGTCCTTGTATTGAAAATTTTTTAACTGACAAGATAAATTCACGAAATCTGACAGGGATTATTACCCAACCGTACAATCTCCGAACAAATTGTTCAGATCGGACCTTTTAGTGGAAAAGTCTTCGTGTTCTAATGTTCCAACAAATAAGCAGCTTCTCAAAAACTTAGGGACTAGTTCGCATATATACAGACGGACAGATCGATGGACAGACGAACATACCCAAATCGACTTAGCTTTTCACGCTGATCGTTAATAAACACCTTTTATAGGGTGTATCCTTTTGAGTGCTACAAATATCGTGGCACTCTGTAAAGGGTATAATATGGTTAATTCTGTTACAAGCGTCATCAAAGCAACTTTGTAACTTGTACCGTAATTCGACACGTAATATCTCACATAAAATCTTAAAAGAAAAACGCTGAAATGCTCCAAATGTGAAACAAAAACGCTTTAAACAATTACACTAATCACCCGTGTGGCGTATTAATTGTTAATTTAAAAGTGTTTATTGAAATAATTAGTGCGTTGCAACTATTTATTTATTTAGTGCAAAAAAAAACTAGAATGCCACTTACAAATGGCTAATCGTCCTAATTGCCGCTAATTAGATCAATAAACTTCATATACTTAGCCATTAAAGGCATACGCATTACACCGTTATTTATGGTTATTAAATTCACCTTTTAACTTCGCACCAATGGTGTGCAATTGTTGTAACTTATGCGCGCGCAAATGGAATTTACTTGAGTATGCACCGGTGTAATTGTTGTTGAGCAACAATTGATGATGATTATAGCCAGCACGTAGCGGCGCACGCAAACGCCGATCCGCCAAATCGATCCACTCATTTGTCATACTAGTATTGCGATTGAATTCCAAAAAAACTATTATACAAAACTATTAACTGTATATTTTACGATAAATCCATAAGAGTTTATTAACTTAACACCTTCAAGTGCGTGTGAATTTTTACTATTATTATTTTTTATTTTTATTGTTTTTGTGGCAAAATATTATTGTTATCACTTTATCGCTATGTCTTTGTTTTTATTTACATTTGTTTCCATATATAGTATACATGTATGTGTGTCTGTATTTTTGAGTTTAGCTGAACTGTTTCGGTGATAACATCGCTCCGCTTTTCACTTAAATCACCAGTTAATGATGGCAACGCTAAAAATATAAACGGTGATTTACACACATTTTTTGTTAACGAAGTGCCGTTATACGTCATATGCTTTAATCGCGTCGACGGCATTTTATCAGCATACGTTTCAATTAGCGATCGGTGCCCCCCACAAAGTCATCAGCAGCTGTACAAATATTATTAATTACAAAACTTAGATACTACAGCAGTGTGTGCAAACATTGGCAGGCAGGCCAGCAGTCAGCTGATGAGGCGATGCCAAAAGTCAAATGATTTGTCTGTGAGAATTCAATAAGGCGCATTAGAGTTGAAAAGGCGGGCGTGTAGCAATCAAAGTGTTGTGGTGGGGGGTGGCAATAAATTTCTTTGTAAGCGATGCAATTAAATTTCTTACAACAACAAGTAGAATGACTTTCATGCAGCATCGACAAAAACTAGTAAACAACAGTCGTATTACAATTGTAACAATATTTGCCGTTTAAAATCAAATCAACAATTTTGACCTGCAAAGTCAATGAATGTCATGACCCTTTCAACGCCACTCAACGCAAACGAAGCTTTATGACGCTGGGTGCAGACATAATACATATTACACACATATACACATACACAGGCAACACAGCAACAAGTCAACAAGCATAATTGTGGGCGCTATCGCTGAGCTATTTCAATTGTCGGCTTTCTTTTCTATTCGATTTTGCCTTGCTTTGATACGCTCACTTGCTTTCTCATCTTACAGCACAAAGTGGCGGTGTGTGTACAAAGAAAAAAAGTTTTGTTTACCCGCCAAGTCATTTTAATCTCGTCGAGATGCGCGTGCACGCATTACTAATCGGTGGGTTGGTGGAAATTTACACTTACAAAATGATAAGTTGACCAGCGTGAAAGGGTGGGTTAGTTGAGTTGCGGTTAAATGTAGTTGCTTGGGATCGAATGCACTTAGGTAGGGCGAAGGGTTAAGCACTAAAGAATTTAGAAAATTTCGCTTGTATTCTTCGGAATTACAGAAATCAACTCTGGAGACCTGATTATATGAAAACTTAGATGCCAATGGGGTTAAGCCAATGTAGAACTCTTAAAAAGGCATAATTTGGACCATTTACTATTGTTGTTGTTGTTGTGGCGGCAGAACAATGAAGTATTGTAATCGGAGGAATGCTGCCGTGTTAACAGTCCTTGGGCGGATAAAAAATTCGACTCTGTTTCGGTAACGTAGATCCGATTGTCCTGGGAACGGTTGGCAATTTACTCTAGGATTAAGGTGAGAGGAATTTTATTTGAGCCAACGAGCCAAACATTTTGATACAAAATAGCGGCCAATAAAAAAAAGATATTTTGAGAACTCTATGGTTAGCCCTAGAAGCGTCAGCCTTCGACAGAATTCCATCATACTTTGAAAGGATTTGTAATATATCAACATGCTCTCATTTATTTAATACATTAGAAACTTCTTTAAAAAATATTAATTCAACAGTGCCATCCTTAACAAGCCTACGAGCACTACATTGTTTCCGAGTATCACTTCAGCATGCTCTCCTCTACTTAACTGCTATTTCAATTACTCTTAAACTTGTTTCGAGTCTTAGCAAAGATCCTTACCATAAAAAATAATTCATAATTTTGTCACTTTTCACTGAGTTAGTTTTGTCTATATATTTTAAAAGAAAGATTCTAAATATCGTCTTCACCATTTGGAATTCCCCCTTTCCTTAATTTTCTTGAATAATAATAACTACCCGTATATATAATGATTGGTTCTGACTGTTTATTGTAAAGAACAAAAGGTTTTATTAATACTTGCAAATAAGAAAAATTGTGTGGCACTATCTAAAAGTGGAAAAGGTCAGTAAGCTCGGCAGGTTGAAAATATTGTTAATGTGTTTTTAATGTCAATGGAAGCAAATTATGACTGAGAGAAATTAAAATAATTAAGTAAAAAAAATTAATATCAAATTCCTACAGTTAAAAGTATATAGAAATGGTACAGATAGTTTAGATTCACAAATTTTGTGAGGGGTTGAAAAGAGAACTATACCCAATAATTGGTAATAAACTAGAAGGCTAAGCACTATCATATCTTATTTGTCCTTAAAATAAAAGCGAAGAGGTTGAAACCTATTTTTATGAGCAAATTAGCAACACTGTGTGTTAGTATATTTTCCACACTAACAAACATTCTATCATATGCAAACCTGATAGTACGAGAAGATATCTTAATCGAGACGTAGTGTTCTATTGCCAAGGTATAACTTAAACCCCTATCTTAGATAATCCAATATCAACGAAGCTTTTGAATAGAAAAAAATTTAAAATATGACTCATTATTGGGTTACAGAAACAATAGTATTGAAAATAATTGTTCCGAAAGTAAATTGTGAGAACCCCAGAATATTTGATTAAATACGAGTTCACCAGATGTAAAAGCGGCTTTCCTAAAAATGATTTGTGAGTTATCTGCCTAACTATAATATTGATGACCGGGACATGATCCTACCTACATGTTTCACCTCCTTCTCTTAAAATTTTGTCGATTTGGATAAAATAATGAAATCGTCAATCGACGGAAAATCTTAGTTTCCAGTATATTGTTAAGAAATACCCTTACACTCATCCTCTTATGCTTGAAGCAACAATGTATTCGTAGTAGTAAAGTATATCTCTCTTTCTCTTAAAACCGCTCTCCCATGTATGTATGTGTAGTAGACTCACAACCCTGCTTAGTAACAAAACAACAGATTGCCATACAAAATAAACGTGATATCCTACAACAAGTGTACGTGAATTGCTGAAATAACTACGCACAAGCTACTTGACGCAGATGGACCTCCATGGTTACCAACAATAAAACGCAGCGCATTTTATTTCCAGCTAGTCAACCGCAAATGGGAATATTTCAACGATCATCTGCAGTTAAAATAACCCGATAGCTACCTACGTCTGCCTACAATGCTGAATAAAAATAACATACAACAACAATACCTACATATGTATGGAAGTTTCTAAAGTTTTAACGGAAAGTCTAAAAATCCGCGCTGATAAGAAATATTTGTGGTTTTAGCGCGTTATTCATTTAATTTCCTTACTTAAATTCTGCGAAGCTTTTGAAAATATTAATATATTTTATTATTACTTTGACATCGAGAATTTGTAGTAGCATATACCGAAAATATACTGGGAACCAATGGAACAGTTGAGTTTTTCAGATCCTCTATAAGTTTCTAGTGAGTCTCTGGAAAAATGTAAATATTCTATAACTTAAGCGCCTCTGATGAGCTAATAATTCTACGATAGTTGGAGAAATTTTACTTATTCACAGTAATGTGTGATAAACTGGTAAAAATTTAATTTTTTTCACAGTGATGTGCAATAAAATATTTTCGAAGCTTACTTCTTTTGTTTTTGGAAATCTCTTCTTCTGATGATCTCTATTGTTTCAAGGTACTGTGCAATATTAAAGAATCCGAAGTTTACTACTATTTATTTCAAAGTGTTTCTAGAGTTGTTAGAATTTAACAGAAATGAGAAAAATTATAGACTTTGCATTTAATTTTTTGTTTTGTTTTTGTAAACAATACCTCTTCTGATGAACTTCATAGTTTTAAGGTGGTGCTATACTTCTAAGGTTACTGTATTATACAATACTATAGTATTCAAATTTTAATTTTTTGTGGAAAATAATACTGCTTCTAATGAGCCATATAGCACGACGGTAGCTGTAAAAATTAATTTTTTTTTACAGTATTGTGCACTAGCATTGAAAGTTTTTAATTTTTTTAGAAACAATACTGATTCTAATGAGCTCTATAGATCAAGGTAACTGAAAATTTGTATTTATTCACAGTGGTGTGCAATATAATAGCGTTTGATAGTTTTGAAAATATATTTTTGTATGCTACGTTGTATGTAAGCCTCTGTATGTTGCCCTATTTGTCATATGACGCAACTTTGAAGAGGTCTTTGAAGATACCGCCAGCAGGTACTGGTACTACTCATATGTACATATATACCTATATGTATGTATGTCATCTCTCTAAAGCTCAGTAAACAAAAATAAAAAAAAAACATGTTAATATACATATTCTTGTCTTTTTCTTATGCATCGCGCTAAATGGATGTCATTAAAATATCATTTCATTAAGATACCCGATTGCTTTATGGAGGTAAGTCGGCACGTACCGACATGAGAGGCAATCGATTTCGCCTTATCAATTCACGTTTCACTATCAAAACACAGTTATTTATTTTTTTATTTATTGCTCTAGTTTTTCGTTTTATTTTTGTTTTTGATTTTTTTTTTTGTTTTAATTTTGGTTCTTGTATATCGGTACACGAGTAGCTTCATTTACTTTTGCCGAAATAATACACTTCAAGCCACTTTTAGCACAAATAAACACCGCCAAACATGTAAATACACCCACACACACTCCTACATAGATACAAACATTCATACACGCGACATAGACATTGGCTGATTATAAATTTCAATAAACACTTTTGGTTCACTTTGAGCGGCAAAATTTCGCAGTGCCAGCTATCTATTAAAACAAATATTTTTCCAACAATTTTTACACTTATCACAACAACAACTACACGAATAACAAAAATTGGCATTAAAAATAGCTTGCGAATTTTTTTATGGTTTTTCTTTCGTTTTCGCACTCACACACTGTTGTTGTTGTTGTTAATAATGATTTCCAATTGTAGCAGTTATCAGGTGGCATAAACACACATACTTTGACTTTAAATTAAATAAACACAATTTATAATATTTATTTGCGCGAATTCCACTTCAAACTGTCACTTTTTACACGAAAATTTACGACAATCCATATTAAAAAAGCATAATAACGTATAACAAAAACGTTCTGTGTCTATTGGATTCGTAGAGTCAAACTGAAGCGAAACGGATTGCGAACGCTGACAAGCGAGATATTCAACACGGCAATATCCTAAGCGACACGCACACAAACGCAGCAAATGAAAAGAATGAACCACTCAGTGAGAGCGAATGTGTGAGAGAGAGCGAAAGAAAGACCACATTCACTATTGAGCGCAAACTGCCGATCGCAGCAATATGTGGGTGCTCCAATATGTGTGTGTGTCGGGGCACTGGTGCGGCTAACAGTTCAGCGTCGACTTTAGATAAATAAAAAAGCGTAAAATACGAATTTGTAGATAAATCGTACGCACAGCCCGAAGAATTCATTCACAAAAATCTTGCACAAAGCCGCACCGGGCGATCGGCGCACTCTCTCTCTGTGTGCCTTCGTGTGTGTGTGTTTGAGCGCGCTGCGGCGATTGAGTTGAAGAGCTCACATGTGAGTCGATCGGGCGCTTGCTCTCGCTCTCGCTCTCTTCAACTCTCGCTGTTGGTCCGTATCAGCTGAATTTCAACTCGCTGCTGGTGTGTTGGTGCATAGGCCGTTGGTGAAACGGAAACGGCCATCATCGTATCTCGGCATCAACATGTTTTGTTTATTTTGTATTTTCATATGCGAAATTGTGCGTGCTTGTGTGTGTTTTATAAAAAGCAAAGCGTATAAAAACCAAAAAAAAAACAGTAAGTTGAGGCGCACACAACAACAGCAACATGTAGCGCAGTTATTTGTGTGACTGTAGTGAGGGAAGTTGTTGTTTTTTTTAATACAAAATATGCTAAACAGAATAAAGAACCTAGGAACGTGGGATTGGAAAATCTACACAAGTACTAAGTGCAATATCTATAATACCGATTTAAAGTTTTAAGATTGTTTCGATTTAGTTAAATTAATCTCATTTTGAACACTGGGCTAACCCTTGTAACTCTAAAACCAGTGTAAAAAAATTCGGAAAGTCCAATTTCATGTTCAGTAAAAGGCTTGTCAGCTTCGGTTTTTCAAAAAATCATTTTGCTTTAAAGTATATTTACGACGGTAGTGCGTGCTGTAAGAGAGAAAATCGATTCCCAAAATAAATTTAAAAAAATTGAGGGCTCTAGAGATTCGGAGATTGTAGCGTATTGGATACAATATAGTCTAATTGCTTGCAAACAAAAAGTTTTTTCACGCAATGACTTGATTTGATCGTCAAGTTTGATGGCAGCATATGCTATAGTCTCCGATATCGTGAGGTTCCAACATATGAGTGACTGTATTGGGGAGATATGGATGTGTGCAAAACTCATATCTAATGCGCATAATATACGACAGACAGACGGACATGTCTCAGCTCGCCCGCTGATCATTATATGATTATAGGTATGATCATAGATATACATTTTTATATCGATTTCCGACGTTTTGAGTGTTGCAAACGTCATGGCACTCTGTTCAAAGTAAAAAAAAGATATTGATATTGCTACATATTACTGAAGAGAAGCAGAAAGATTATCTTCGACGTCAAGGTGGATTTTTTAAGCCAGAAGGATCTGTAATCAGTAACTTTTATTTATATTTTCAATATTCGGACACTTAGGCTGATTCAACAGAATTGTCGAGTTATCGTCGCGCGTGCCAACTTCAGTGCTATGACAGTATTTTTATTAAGATTAAGATAAAAGGTTAATAGTATTTTCGCATCGAATGCAAAAATATTAATAAGGCAATAAGTGCTCTGTCAGGGGAGTATTTGCCAGTCTATAGCACTCTTACATATAACTAGTAACATACAATAATATCTCAGCTATTCGAATTTCAGTTGAGAGAGAAATCTTGAGTTCAAAGCTTCGTTAATTCATTGAAGCATAAGTTACTTTCACACAGTGAGAAACTGAGAACGACGAAAGGGTGGTTAAGTGAATTTCTGAATTTTAGCAACATCATAAATAACGATAATTAAAATTTGAGTAAATTAATATTGATTTAGGGCACATGAGTCGATGGCGTGTTACGGGAATTTTTCAAACAAAGAATTTTCTTTATAAACATATGTATGTATGCGCATATGTATGTATGTTTGCAACTGCGGGAGTTATTGTTTGTGTCTCAACATTCAGCTGCCAATTGATAAGGCAGGGGTTTAGCAAACAACCGATAAAAAACCAAAACAACCTAGTCCACAACTAGTAACAAAGTAGACACATATACTATAGTTATACTCCACAATGCGATTTCAGCGATTAATTAGGCTGAGAAGCGGACAGACGCATGGATGAATGGATAGTTGGACCGTTGGATGAGCGAGGCGGCAGCCTGCCTGCAAGCCAACCAGATAAACACTTTTGACAGACAGGCACGGCAGGCACTTGTGCTCAGATTACTTGTATCGCCTGGTCGCTAGAATTACATGCCGACACACACACACATATATATAGATATATTTATATATATGTTGCTATATGCCTGTATGGCACTCGCATTCGATCGGTTGACGTGTACGCTCACTTGTTTCTTCCCCTTACAATGCGAGTATTTTCATTGTTGAGCTGCCTACATACAACCATGCATACATACGAATATATACACTTGGTTAGTGCCGTTTCACATTGGGATGCAAAAGAGTCTGATGTTTTTTTCAAATTTTCTTTGGGTGTCGCTCTGGGGCATTCAACACGGTCAAAAAGAGTCCAGCAACTAGAGTCTAGTTTTTCTGCATTCCTTTTCACAAAATGTTCGTAATATTTTGTGCGGTTCGACTGCGCAACACCGGGCAACACTGCGTGCTGCGTATTTATTTGTATGTTGAGATGATGGTCACGACATTTTGCTTGCAATGAATTACCATGAATATGGTAGAACAATTATGCATAATACAAGTACCTACCCGCTAATAAGTTTCAAAAAAATTCCCTAACCCACAAGAATGTATTGAATATCCGCTACTAATATTTTCAAGGCAAATTTATATATAGGAATTCCTAATCTTTAAGTATTAAAATTCATAATTTCTTTACTCCATAATCTACATCTTAATTTTCTCCTATTTTACAATTTTTCAATAATATTTCTTATTCATTCTATGCATACGCATTTGCATATTACATACAAAATAGATACAGAACTCAATTCGCGATCGAATTCATTGAAACCGAGCGTCTCTTGCAACCATTCAAAGGATTTGAAGTGAAAAGGAATGCGTGAAAAAAGGGTAGCAAAGCGAGGCTGTTACGAAACAGAGAACACAAAGCGTGCCCCAGAACAGACGAGTGGCACGGTCCCTTCGTCTTTCTCGTCGCCCCTCACCCACAATAACTGGTATGAGACTCTTTTGCGTCCCAATGTGAAACGGCACTTACAGTGCAATGTGAATTTATGAATGAATTTCTCGTATTGCCTCACACGCTCTTCGCGAACGCAAGCAAGTCCGGCCAGCAGGCAGGCGGCGAACACGATCGGCAGTGAGTATATTGCTTAATATTTCTTGCGTCTTTTTTCTTTTTTTTTTTTTTTTGTTTTACTTTCATACAAAATATGGATTTGTTGTTGTTGCATGCCTGCGGCCCATAAGGCTACACGCAATATATTATATCTTAACGCATACTTGTTTGTTGGGTTTCAGCTGATTTTTTTTCTTGTTTCTGTTTGTTGCTTTATTCGGAGACGCATTTACTGCTGTCACTGATTTGTTGTTGCATGCGCTTCCGCTGCTTCCGTTCGAGGACAGCACATACATAACTCTGTGGTGGGTATGTATGTGTATCTTCAGCTAGCTAGCATGCGTCTGTTGACGATCGAACACCTTCTCAGGCGACGATCAATCGAAGGCGGCGATCACTGCTTGGACTGATATGCTGTTTTGTGTTAGTCCACCCAGAGCGCAGTCGCATGTGATCTACACATACGCCTATATATATACATATATATTACGATATACGTGTGGATATGCATACATACAAAGAGAGATATGCGCTGGCAATTGGCCAGCAGCGCTAGAGCGGCTGAAACATGATCGGCCGTAAAAAGGTATAGTGGTAGGGGAGGGGGGCGCAGCGGCAAACAGCAGCGGTAGCAGTGATAAAGATAAAGAATATTCGAAGCAAATTACGAGCACAGGTAGAAAAGAAATTTTTATGAATGAATAAAATCGTTGAATGAATTGGATTTACGTGTGAGCCGAGCGGCTCGTTTCATGGAGTGCACCTCCCCCTCCCAAAGGGGAGCGCGCGGGTATTGCGCGGTGAAACGACGTCGCCGATGATGACACGCAAGCATAAATAAGTGGTTATGAGAGAGCGTGTGGTGCGCTTGGCTAGTACACGTTCGACTAGCAGAAAAAAGGCAGGCAACTGCTTGAGCTGGTCGAGCGGGTCCGCTGAGCCAAGAAACTCAATAGCGCACATACTCATATACAAAGATACTTGTACATACATATGTACATATAAACTACTTGTGATACGAATGAATCTAAGCTCATGAGTACTTCACTTGTACGTTTGTAGCTGTGTGTTATTTGTTGGTATGTGTGTAAGTGTGGCAACGCCGAAGATCGCCTGTCATTATCACAAACCGCATAATTGGCGCAGGGAAGGGCCAATAAGTGATGCACGCGCACTTGCATGTTTACAAATATGCTGAACACGCATACATACACTTGTGTTCACATAATTAAGCAAAATTACGTTTCAGAATATAAAGTCATCGAAGTAGCTTTACATTGGTATAACGGTATGGAAATAGGTTCAGTTATCTGTTTTAAAATTGTTAAGAACATATTTAGAGAAATAACTAATGTGGTCAACGAAAAAATTTTAATTGTTTCGCAGTTGATCTAGCCGCGTGTGCTCACATAATTATGCCAGTGTAACAAAAGTCGCTATTGAAAAGAAAAGAAAGTAAAAAGTATATTGTCTTCACTCATTTAAATAGGTTTTTTTTTTTTAACTTTTAAAAGAATAGACAAAACTAAGAGTTCAGCTCCATCTGAAAGAAAAATCATATGGAAATGTTTCCAAAATTATAACATTATTGCGAAAGTAATAGATAGCCCGGCGTAAGTTGCA